TAATTATTAAGGCCCCTATATTGGCCTCCTTGCAGCAGGAACACCAAGCATCCTTAGACCCTTAGCGAAGCGGCCCCAAGCCCCCTTTAAAGCCCAAACTCGAGTCCATGCCCAGTGGCAAGAGCCAGCCTAAGAGTAGCAGAGACATGCGCCGTCTTGCTGGGGGAAGGAGAGGGCCGCTTGTAGTATTGCGTCTCTAGCTTGAACATCGTTGCAGAACTGAGAGATCCGCGAGCTGTCTTCCCGTCATGGCTGCCCGTTCCGTGAGTTTTACTTGTGAAGTAAGACATTCAGAAGCACAGACGAACGGTTGCAAAGGGACTCCACCTTTTCCTATATCGGCGCTGGGCACATCATCTCCGGAGGACGCCCAGGGCGAGTTGGGCTTGTTCCGGACCTTGTTCGGAGGAGAGTCATAGCCGTCAAACAAGACAGACGACGACCACGACGACGGCTGCCACCACTACTAGATCAACTATTCTGTTACTCTGCCTCTACTTCCAGTGAGAACAATAACGAAGGCCATCAGCATCATAATTACCGTCATCATCATCATCATCGTAACTGAACCATGGATTGCCCTTAGCAGCCCAAGCCTCCCTGGCAGCTCCATCTTCGAAGTCGCTCCGGCAGGAAACCCGGGGATGGATCTGACCACAGTCGAGCCTCGCAGCTGCAAATAGATAGGCAAGAGGGTTTGGGGTTTCGACTCGCGCACTCGCACCGAGAATAGGGTTTAGGGTTTGGGGTTCCGCATGCCGTGCTTTGGAAAATAGGGTGTGGATTTGGAGTTTAAAACAGGGTTTCAGAGCGCAGCTGCAAAATTGGTCATGCGAGGGTTTAGGTGTTCTGGGTCTAAGCAAAAAGCAAAAAGGGTCACACGAAGGTTTAAGGCTTTGGATTCACAGTTTTGGGTGGCGATTGCACAAGTCTGGATGCAAGAAAGGGTTACTCCAGAGAGCATAGCTGGCTGAGGTTTACGCATGAGGAGCTGCAGGAGTACTACGACTACTTCAAGGCAGGTCCACAAATACAATACAAATGTTGGGCAGCTACTGGCCTAAGTCTCGGCAGAGACTACCCGAAGCCAGCACACTTCAGTGCGAGAGCCCACACCGTAGGCAGACACACACAATTCGGTCAAACAAACCTAAAGCTTTAACCCTAAAATGTTTCAGAGAGAGTGCTACCGGGCTTTCACTCAGTTTCTGGAGCAAGCCTGCGTTACGAGGCGCAGGGCTATGAGTTCAGAAGCGTAAATCGCCGTGTAAAACTCCAAAACTCAACCTTAAACGCCAATGTAGCTGTTTCATCAGTCCAGTTAGTAGGAGTATTTCGGAGGGTTCACTGTTGGTACACTAAACCCCCGCCCAAACCCTGTTCGAAGTATTTGGGAGTTTCCGAAAATTAG